AAAAAATGACTTTCGTTGCATTTGACAATGATAAACTTACCGAAAAGCCGTGTTCTTCTCGGTCGCTAACGTCGGTATAATCCGCCATTTTATTTGAGTGTGTTTGCCACCTGACTCTGCCCGGTGACGTCATCATATGCGCTATAGAAGAAGGTCTGTGATTCATTGACTAAAATCGTCGACAGTGGGTCTCGTTGAAATCTCGTTACATAGGCATCGGCTCAGATGTATGTAGGGCGGAATTACAAAAAATCAAAATCAAAGTAAAATAATAAAATAAAAAGGCATTAATAACAAAAGTAATAAAAAATAAAATTAAAATAAGTTTATAGCCAAAATAATTAAAGCCCGTACACTACATCAGATTTTAATCAGATTGTCAATGTGTGTGCATGCGCTCTAATGATATCTAAAGAACTCATTTTGATGAAACTTGGTATATTGCGCAGAGCTTTTTAGTTTTGGGTTGAAATATGTTGATACTAATTGCCTAGTTTTCATAATAATCCATGTATTTTCATCTTTTCCAGATATCTCAAAAACTAGATTTAAATGAAACTTAGTACATAGATGCTTGGATTAGTTTGGATTTAAATTCCTGCATATTTATTACCTAATCTGCATAATACTTTATGCAATTTATACCATTTTTCAGCTTTTCTACAGATATATGTACCTGAATAAAATTTTATATAAAGTTGCTTAGGGACAATTAATGCACAAACTCTATTAGAGTGGAAATCGGTGCATCCTCAAACAAACTCAGTGCATCCTCAGACAACTCAGTGCATCCTCAGACAACTCGGTGCATCCTCAGACAACTCAGTGCATCCTCAGGCAACTCGGTGCATCCTCAGGCAACTCACTGCATCCTCAGGCAACTCACTGCATCCTCAGACAACTCAGTGCATCCTCAGACACCTCAGTGCATCCTCAGACACCTCAGTGCATCCTCAGACACCTCAGTGCATCCTCAGACACCTCGGTGCATCCTCAGACAACTCAGTGCATCCTCAGACAACTCAGTGCATCCTCAGGCAACTCGGTGCATCCTCAGGCAACTCAC